AGTCAAGATCAAAGATAGCAACCCCCAACTTAAGCAGAATATCCCAGCGAGGGAGCTCAGCAGAGCCAGGGAACTGTGCACGCCAGGCGTCAGTCAGGCGGCCAAAGCAGCGAGGTGTGGTGTGCAGGCCGCCGCACGGCTCTCCTCGGCGGTCGCCGGTGCGAAGAACGTAAGTGCAGGGACCACCGCCCCCGCCAGACCTCCCACGCCCAGTGTACCACTCATGGAGCTGCTGAGGCGACAGGTTCTTACGAGAGCGCTGCTGCTGCTGGCACTGGTCACCGCTAGTGCCTCCCCGCTGCCCACCACCGCCCCCGCCACCCCCACTGCCGCCACCTCCACCCCCACCCCCACTTCCACCACCGCCACCGAAGCCCCCACCCGAGCCACCACTCCTACCTCCACCTCCACCCCCTCCCCCTCCACCACCTCCACTGCCACCACCGCCTCCCCCGCCGCCCCCTCCACCCCCCTTGCCCCCTTTGCCCTTGCTGTTGCGGCGCCTCCCACTAGGAGCAGACGCAGCGCCGACCGACTCGGTGCCAACGAGGTCGACAGCAGCAGCAGAGGCAACAGAGGGCAAGAGGGGAGAGGGGGAGCACCCCTCAAAGAAAGGGGCGCGAGGGTCACCACGAGAGGCCCCTACAGCGACTATACTCTTCTCAGCTGCAAGGAGGCGCTCCTCGAGGAGGTCAACGGTGAGTGTGGTGGGGCAGAGGGAGAGGAAGTGGTCCCTGACCGAGCAACGGGAGTCAGGGAGCCGGGTGACGAGGTAGTAGAGGGTGATGTACATAGGGGGGGGGTTCTTGGCACAGAACTCGGCAGGAAGCGCAGCGCGGTAGCGGGTGTCACTAGTGCGGAGGTGCGTAATGAGGTCAGCGACAGTGGCAAAAGCGGCTAGGTCAGGGAACAGGTACGGTAGCATGAGGCGACTAAGGGCAGCAGTGGCAGGGGAGGAGTAGCGCGCAACAACAGCGGCGTACAGAGTGCTAGCACTCTTGTACTGATTAAAGTGCGCGCGCTCAGAGGACGGCAGGTGACTACGCACAGCAAGGCAAGCAGCAGCATCGCGTATGGTCCAGACCGAGCGAACAGTTATAGCAGCATCAGCAGCAGGGGCAGCAGAGGCACCAGACGTGAGATCGAACAGTGAGAGGCCGTCTTTGCTATCGCACTGCAGGAAAAGCTGCAGATCATCTATCCAGACCTCAAAGTCTACCGCTCGACCCTCAGCATCAAAGGTAAGAACGTTGGGACTCGCCATGACAGCAGCAGCAGCAGGCTAGCAGCAGTAGCGGCAGCGCGACTCAGCTAAGGGGCGCGGCTCGGCAGGGCGGCGCGGCTCGATAGGGCGGCGCGGCTCGGTAGGGCGGCGCGACTCGGCGGTGCTCTTACCAGGGGCGGGTGGGTAGGGTGGCCGCGACTGGAGGGGCAGGGCCGAGGTGCGCCGGCCGGGTCGGGGCCGCAACTGGGCGGCAGGGCAGGGCCGCGGCTCGGCTGCAGGGCAGGGCCGGGGCAGTAGCGACAGCAGCGGCAGCAGCGGCAGCAGCGGCAGTGGCGGCAGCTCCAGGGGCCAGGGGCGGCTGCTGCAGGGGCGGGTGCTCCAGAGGCCAGGGGCGGCTGCTGCAGGGGCGGGTGCTCCAGAGGCCAGGGGCGGCTGCTGCAGGGGCGGCTGCTCCAGGGGCCAGGGGCGGCTGCTGCAGTGGCGGCTGCTCCAGGGGCCAGGGGTGGCTGCTGCAGGGGCGGGTGCTCCAGAGGCCAGGGGCGGCTGCTCCAGGGGCCAGGGGTGGCTGCTGCAGGGGCCAGGGGCGGCTGCAGCAAGTAGCAGCAGCGGCAGCAAGTAGAAGCAGCTGCAGCAAGTAGAAGCAGCGGTAGAGCAGCAGCACAGGCGCAGTGCAGCGTGCAGGCCTGGCGTGGGCTGTGCTGGCCGCGCGCGGGCCTGACGAGGCCTGTACGGGCTGCGCGAATGCCTAGCGCGGACTGTACGGGCCGCTCTCGGGCCTGACGTGGCCTGTACGGGCTGCGCTAACGCCTAGCGCTGACTGTACGGGCCGCGCGCGGGCCTAACATAGGCTATACAGGCCGCGCGCGGGCGTGGCGCGGGCTGTACGGGCGGCGCGAAGGCCAGACGGGGGCTGTACGGGCTGCTCGCGGGCCACGCGCGACAGGACAGGGCAGGGCCGCGGGGCAGCGAAAATCGATGCACCTAAGGGCGCATTTCGGGCAGAAAAAAGCAGAGAACGCGATTCGGGCAGGAACACGGAAGGTTTAACGGTGGGCCCTAAAAATTTGTCCTAGGTTAGGAACAACCTAGCTCTTAATACCATGTGAGAATAGTATGAAGGTATGATGAGATTTGGGCAAGGAGGGGGATACAAAGAAGTGTCGAGCAAAATTCTGTACCCCCTAAGGCTAAACCCACTACAGCCTAGATAACATTAAACATATAATTTGACAAATGGCTGGCACGAGCAAGATGGCGGTGAAGCGCAGACAAGAGATGTTGTCTTTTGTCGCATCATACTCCAGCTCCTCATCAGAGTCGTCTTCAATGAAGGACTCGTCAGGCGTAACAGTAGCCATTGCTTTCAGCTTCTCTTCAATGGACAGCCCCGGGCTGCCTGCGATCACTTCCGCTTCAGTATGCAAGCCCTTGATCAGGTCTGACGATTTCTCCGGCGTCTTGCTTTCAGGATCAGCATTCCCAGCAGCATTGTCAGGTACCACTTCGACCGTAGGCTTAATACGGGAGTTCTTCGGCGGCATTGTGCGATGATGACTGAAAACCGGCAGTAATCCTCTGTGAGGAGGCTGACTAAAATGATGAGCCGAAGGTCTGAGCACCTCCTCAAGAAGTAGTTCAAAGATGATAATGTTAGGCCATTCTTATTGTCCCAGGTGTTGTGCAGCCGATGAGAGAACCTCTGGGTCATGACAATAAACATTATCTTCAGGACCAGTAGTAAACGCCTGCGAGATAACCTTAGAGAACTCCTTAGCCTTGTGAGCAAACACCCTTAAAATCCACGCGCTAGCCTTGGGAACAGCTTTTAACACCAGCGTAGGAACCCAAGGTGAAGACAATATGATGTTCGCTTGTTTAACACAAAAGTTATATAGTCTTCTTCCTTGCGTTGTAGTGAATCCGAATCTGGAGAAGTTAAAGCCATCAGGTGGGTAGGCTTTGCGTAATGCGCGAGGGTTTCTTCTAGTTACCATTCGCGTGATGGGCTGCTCGTGTATAGTTACCATACGTGTTAAAGCTCAAGTATACATTTGTAAGCGGGGTTTAGGGTTTGTCAGTTTGCCTCACGGTTTTGGGGCAAAGTTTCAAATTTCAAAAGATTTTGAACCCCTTCCTTCAAATGTATACCAAAGCTTTAAGCGAGTTACCAAACGTTTTAAGCGAGTTACCAAACGCGTTAAGCGAGTTACCAAACGCGTTGAAATCGTTACCGTACGCGTTATAGTGCCCCATGTAAGTTACCATTAACATATTTTCCCAATGTACTGTTGTGAGAATGGCTAGCTTCTAGCGAATCATGTCAACGAACCCCATTTTCGCGAGTTCTCGGTGTGGAGGGGTGTGGAGCTGGGCGTCCGCGAGCGTTGCGAACTCCGCTGTTGTCGCCTTTCTTCGCTGTACCTGCCCCTTGCTCCTCCACCACGGCTGCTATTAGATCCCACGAGGATTATGTTGCTATGATTTCCCACCCCACCCCAGGTCACCACGTCACCACCACATGCCATATGACTCGACACAAGAAGCCTTGCTACAGTGCTCCCCTCGCATACTTGTGGTTGCCCGGTTTTCTAGCGGTAATGAACGATTGAATGTAATGGGACGGGATAAAATTCCCATGACTCTCATCTCAAGCGAGATGTGGATGATACAGAAGCGCAAGAAAGATGGATGAATCATGACTGCCCTTGTCCGGACCAGCAGCAGCCGCTCTGCTCTGCCAGCTGCACTCCTCAGGTCCCAGCCTTCCCTCATCTGCCCCCATGAACAGTGAATGCGGGAACACCTTGAAACGCCTCGCTATAAGATCCGCTGCTCTCCATTTTCCCACCAACCTCGCAAAAACGACGAACAGCAGTGAGTCAGTGACGCGAGGAAGCGTGGATATGCAATGCGCGGCGTCAGGCTGGTGGTGCCGTGCCGCGTTGCGATGGGGCAGCAAGAGGGAGGCGATTGGTTCAGGTGGAGGAATCGAAGACGCGATCCGAAGGCGGGGGGGATTTCACGGCGAGAAGTTATGGATCTTGCCTGTGTGGACCTCTGGATAAGGAGCAAATCTCCTATTTTTTATTTTAGGAGTCGTGTGTGGGAGGAAAGGGAAGGGACAGCCTGTCCTTGGTTGAAGGGTAACAAAGCTGGGTGGGAAATGGGATGAGAGAAGTGGGAAGAAGGCTGCGACTACAGTACTCCTGAGACTGGGTGACGATGGCGGGCGTTGGGATAACCAGCCTGGACTTTTTCCTGAAATTAAAGCCCAAGACCTGAATTACTCAACGGAAGTCAACGGGAAAAATTAGGTTCAGAAGACAGGCAGACGGAGGTTCGGTTGGGGTGCGAACCACTTTCACTCGCGAAACCAAATTGCGACAAAAGTCCGTCGCGTACAAGAATTCGAGTGATGGGTGGGGTCCCTCACACAACAACCAGAAAAGGGCGTCCATCCCAAACTGTGCACAGTTTGGGATAGCACGCAGATAACTAGGCATATAGCATACCTGTAGACATAGCGAGGAATCAGAGGCGGCTTACGAATGTGGGTAACGCGGATCTCGATGACGACGCACAAAGATAGTGTTCGCTCGTGTCGAAATGCAGGTTTAGGGTGCAACTGATGCGTAAACTCTCGGCGAATATCGTACCGTGACCCTTCGCCCAAGCGTAAACCTCTCTCCTCGCCCTCGCTTACCCTAGGTCCCACGCTTCCGATCTCTTTCGCCATCGCAGCCGCGTGGGATGGCGCCTCCAAGACCCCAGCCCGATGCCTTCTGGACCCCAGCCCGTCGCCTTCGCTTTCCACGCCTGTCGCCTTCACTTCCCCTCCCCCGTCACCTTCACTTCCCCTCCCCCCGTCGCCTTCACTTCCCCCCACCCCGTCGCGCAACATTCCCCCTCCCGTCGCCTTTCCCGCCCGTCGCCTTCGCTTCTCCCGCCCGTCGCCTTCCCTTCCTCTACCCATCGCTCTCGCTTCCCCCGCCCGTCGCACTCTCTTCCCCTGCCCGTCGCACTCGCTTCCCCCGCCCGTCGCACTCGCTTCCCCGCCCGTCGCACTCGCTTCCCCGCCCGTCGCACTCACTTCTTGGCCCGCGCTTCCCCCGCCCGTCGCTCTCGCTTCCCCCGCCCGTCGCACTCGCTTCCCCCGCCCGTCGCACTCGCTTCCCGCCAGTCGCACTCGCTTCCCCGCCCGCGCTTCCCCCGCCCGTCGCACTCGCTTCCCCCGCCCGTCGCACTCGCTTCCCGCCCGTCGCCACCACTACCCCTCCCATTGCCGTTCACTCTCTCCATCTCACGCTCTCCCCCTCGCTCACTCGCTTGCCCACCCGCAATCTCTTCTCTCCTGCTCACTCCCCTCCCCCCTGCTCACTCTCTTCCCCCCTGCGCACTGCACACTCTCTTCCCACCCCCCTCACTCTCTTCCCCCCTGCGCACTGCACACTCTCTTCCCACCCCCCACACTCTCTTCTCCCCTGCGCACTGCACACTCTCTTCCCACCCCCCACACTCTCTTCTCCCCTGCGCACTGCACACTCTCTTCCCACCCCCCACACTCTCTTCTCCCCTGCGCACTGCACACTCTCTTCCCACCCCCCTCACTCTCTTCCCCCCTGCGCACTGCACACTCTCTTCCCACCCCCCTTACTCTCTTCCCCCCTACGCACTGCACACTCTCTTCCCACCCCCCTCACTCTCTTCCCGCCCGTCGCACTGCACACTCTCTTCCCACCCCCCTCACTCTCTTCCCCCCTGCGCACTGCACACTCTCTTCCCACCCCCCTTACTCTCTTCCCCCCTACGCACTGCACACTCTCTTCCCACCCCCCTCACTCTCTTCCCGCCCATCGCACTGCACACTCTCTTCCCACCCCCCACACTCTCTTCTCCCCTGCGCACTGCACACTCTCTTCCCAACCCCCTCACTCTCTTCTCCCCCATCCGTCTTCACTCTCTTTCCCCTTTTTTTCTCACCCCTCTGCCCCGTCCACATCCAACCCTCGCTTATCTGCCATACCCCCTCTTCCATCCCCGTTCTATCACAGAACCATGCTTGGACAGGTGCCCACCACCATGAGTTAATGTGATGAAAAGTTACCACCTCCTAGCTTTGTGCATTGTGCCTATAGTCCACTGTTGACAACTTTTATATGCTTTGTTCCACTTCTTTTTTGTGGCCATGTGCAACCCTGCTCTGAAGCCGACAGTGTTTTAATATGAGACGCATAAACATCAATACATGGCATGGTTACCTATTTGTCATACCACTAATCATCAACCATGAAATTTGATGTGTCATATGGTACCGGTATGTTGAAGCAGCTGGGAAGGACTGTACGAAACAATGACAATCGAAGGGCAATCCCCATATACAAACAGGCGAGAAGTGTACAGGCGTGGAAGGGAAAGGGGGGATGGGAGAATGTGAGGAAATCAAGTAGGGTGTAGCAAGTGGGTCGGACAGAAAAGGCGGCCGACAGGAAGATCGGAAAGTGGCAGCTTGAAAAAAAGGGCGGCAGGGTGGAGGGGCAGGAGGATGAAAGACAGAGTGGGTGGGAGAGTGGTAGGGTGGAGAGAGGCTTGGAGAAAGGGCTGAATGGAGAGTGGAAGGGCGGACGGTACTTGCCACCGACGATGACGCAAACGCGATGGGAAGGGAAGAGATATCAGCGGGGAGAAAAAGCGCAACGCGAGAGATGGAGAAAGGGAGGAAGGGGTATGAATGCGGAGGAAGGGAGGAGGGCAGGAGGAGAAAGTGTGGCAGGGGGTGGAACAGGGGATAGGAGGATCCCTGCACCCTCTCTCCCTACCCCCCCGCCTCCCCTGCCCCCCCTGCCCCGCCTCCCCCACTCCCCTGTCCCGTCTAGGGGAAGCGTGGGCGAGGGTGGGGGGAAGCGTGGGCGACGGTGGGGCGGATGGGGGGATGAGAGGAAGAGTGGGTGATAGGAAGGGTGGGTGAGAGGAAAGGAAGATGAGACGAAGGGAGGATGAGAGGAAGGGAGGATGAGAGGAAAGGAGGATGAGAGGAAAGGAGGATGAGAGGACGGGAGGATGAGAGGAAACGAGGATGTGAGGACGGGAGGATGAGATGAAGGGCGGATGAGAGGGTGGGGGGAAACGTGGGCGATGGTGGGGGGAAGCGTGGGCGAGGGTGGGGGGAAACGTGGGCGACGGTGGGGGGAAGCGTGGGAGACGGTGGGGGGAAGCATGGGAGACGGTGGGGGGAAGCATGGGAGACGGTGGGGGGAAGCATGGGAGACGGTGGGGGGAACCCTGGGCGAGGGTGGGGTGAAGCGTGGGCGAGGGTGGGGGGAAGCATGGGAGACGGTGGGGGGAAGCATGGGAGACGGTGGGGGGAAGCATGGGAGACGGTGGGGGGAAGCATGGGAGACGGTGGGGGGAAGCATGGGAGACGGTGGGGGGAAGCATGGGAGACGGTGGGGGGAAGCATGGGAGACGGTGGGGGGAAGCATGGGAGACGGTGGGGGGAAGCATGGGAGACGGTGGGGGGAAGCATGGGAGACGGTGGGGGGAACCCTGGGCGAGGGTGGGGTGAAGCGTGGGCGAGGGTGGGATGAAGCCTGGGCGATGAGCGGGGAAGCGTGAGAGAAGGTGGGGGAAGGCGCGAGCGACGGTGTCCCCGGGAGTGGGGTAAGGCAGGAGGATGCGTGAGTGGCGACAAGGGGAAAGCGTGAGCGACGGTGCGGGAAAGCGTGAGCGACGGTGCGGGAAAGCATGAGCGACGTTGCGGGAAAGCGTGACCGACGTTGCGGGAAAGCGTGAGCGATAGGGCCAAATGCGATGTTTGCGGAAAGGCGATGCCCAAGTAAGGAAACGTGGGCGCGCCTGTCAGGAGAGTGGGGAGTGGTGGGGACACGACAACGGAAAAAGAGGGTGGTCGGAGTGGTGAAAAAAGCGTCGGAATGAGGCTCGACGACGTTGACGAGGAAGCGACGGGAGGGGAGAGGGGTAAGGGCGACGGGAGGGCAATGGCGACGGGGAAACAGAGGAAGCGGGGGCGACGGTGCGTCAACGGGGAGGACGATGTGAGGGGATTCCTCAAGGACGGGCCTCTAACAAGTGAGGTGGGGATTCCTCAAGGAGGCCATCTAAGTTGAGAGGAGAACGGGCCTCCTTCAACAGGGTGCTGTCGTTGCCTGTTAAGTATGCTTGGGCAGTAGTGGTTGAGCCGGCGGGTTTGGATGACGAGGAGGAGGACGAGGAGTGGACGGACCTGGACCCAGATGTGGTGGCCGACCCTGAGAGGCAGTGGGATCTAGCGAAGATGACAGTGAAGGAGGCCTTGGGCTGCTGGAAGGGCGACAAGGTGAAGGAGGCGATGTATGAGGAGATGCGGAGTTTGATTGAGCAGGGGACGTGGGAGTTGGTTCCGCGTCCGCATGGGTTGAATGTGATGAAGAACCGCTGGATCTTGAACACCAAGTTCCGACCGAATGGGGTAGTGGAACGTGAGAAGGCGAGGCTGGTGGTGAAGGGGTTCACGCAGGTGGCGGGAGTGGACTTTGGTGGATGAGGCTCTCTCTACTTCAAGAGTGATGCTGAGGGGGAGATGTGCTGGCTGCTGGTGTATGTGGATGACTTGCTTGCTGCCAGCCGCAGTCAGAGCATGCTGGGGAAGCTGCGTGACCTGCTGCAGAGTGCCTTTCAGCTGCGGGAGATTAGCCCTGTGGAGAAGTATCTGGGGTTGCAGCTGGTTCGGGACAGGCCTACGAGGAGGCTGTGGCTGCACCAGGGGGCCTATGTGGACAAGGTCCATAGGCGCTTCTTTGACGGGGAGCACCCGATGCGAGTGCCTCGCACCCCTCTTTCCTCTGACCCTTTCAGTGTGCAGACCTTCGAGGATGTGGGATGGCAGTCTCGCCAGGAGGAGGAGTACAGGCAGAAGGTGGGATCCTTGCAGTTCGCGGCCTGTACCACCCGTCCCGACATCTCGTTCGCCTGCAGCAAGTTGGGGTCGGGCCAGACTGTGCGGAGTGATCACCACTGGAGGGAGTTGGACCGGTGCTTGGCATACTTGGTGGGGAGCAGGGATGTGGCGCTGGAGTTTGGTGGTGGCCCGGAGTCCTTGGAGCTGGTAGGCTACGCCGATGCTGATGATGCAGGGGACAAGCAGAACAGGACCAGCACTGGTGGCTATGTCTTCGTGCTCCGGGGTGCTGCTGTCTCTTGGGCGAGTCAGAGGATTCGTTGCACCACCCTCTCCTCCACTGAGTCTGACTACGTTGCTGCTGTGGAGGCAGGGAAGGAGGCGTGCAGGCTGCACTTCCTGCTGGCAGAGTTTCAACTGCTGAGGAGTGAGGAGCCCACTACTCTCTTTGTGGATAACTCCTCCGCCATTTCAGTGGCAGGTGGCATGGGGCTCAAGGGGAGCCTCATGCACATGGAGCGTTGCCACATGTGGCTGCAGCACATGGTCAAGCGCACGAAGCTGCAGCTACAGTACATCCCGACGAGCGAGCAGCCAGCTGACTACCTGACAAATGCGTTGCATTTCCCCGCCTTCAGCCGTTGCTTCGAGGCTGTGGGGCAGGTGAGGCTCTCGAGCGAGGGGAGTGAGACCTAGACACTCCATGATGGGGATGGTGCCATGGCCTATCCATGGCTGGTGCGGTGCGTGTTTGCACTCTGAGAGTGCTTCGTTTGTTTTTGTCCCTTTGATTTGGTGTGTATGTGTATATGCATGCCCTGTGATTATAATAGGCCTTGTTGTAGTATGGCAGGGGAGTGTTAAAGGACACTGCGACAGCAAGGCCCTCGACGATGTGCCTTGACTTGGCAGGTCCATGAACGACCAAGACTATACGCTGCCCTGCACCGACCCTATGACTTCGAGATGGTTGAGTGCTGACATTGTGCGACTATGACGGCGCTAATGAAGTCACTGCTGTGGTGGTGCTAGCTTAAGGAAGTCGTGGCTATGCTTCTTGGGAAGTGTGTGCTAGTCTAGGGAAGTTGTGAGTAGTTCGTGGTGAGTCTCGCCATTTCTAGCTGTGCTGGGAGAATCGGCGTGCTCGGCATTGACTTCCCTGCTGAGTTGGGTTGGGAATTTGGTGAGGTGCGTTCGCTCACCCACACACCACTTTCGTGGGGTTGGCTTACACCGAAGCGCCACGCAACCTTTTGTGAACTCTCGTCTGCCAATATCAATCTTGTGTGTTTGCTTTTGTATTCATGGATCATAGTACAATTTCTAGTGAAGTCCAATTGCTACTTGGTTTCTCACTTAGTCATTTGAGACTTACGCTACCGAAACTCTACCGAGTTGCTGGCGCAACACCATTCACATAGCAGAAACTCTCTCGCTATCGCTACGCTCTCTCCATAGTATTCCTTCATGGACCAATCCGAGGGCGACCTACAATCCCTTGTAAACATCTCGCTTGGGGAAGCCATTCTGTCCGACCCCGAGGAGTAGTCATCTTCGGGGTCGGAGCGAAGGTCTGGAATAAGTCAAGTCCCTCACGCTGATTGAAGCCCCTAGCCACATAGCGCGCCTTGAAGACACGCTGTGATCCTGTCGGCCGCTTCACTTTGAAGATACATGACATCGACTACGTTGGCCTAGGAGGGGGAACTGCGTTGACGTAAGTGCCTGTGGATCTCAAGACGCCATCTTTGAGTCCATGGCCGGTATCCACTGAGAGGCCCACTGCCCTGACACTGCCTCACGGTACGTGCGAGGAGTTGGTTTGTCAAGGGCGCCGGATCTCCCTCAGGGGCTAGCAGCATGGCACAGAGATGGGAAGAAGCGACTGTAAAAAACTCCAGCCCAAACGGCCTGTCCTCTAGGACGTCACTGCCAAGGGCAGACTCACCCCCAGCGGCCAGAGGATGGGCAGCCACTACGCGGGCGGTGTAGTCAAGGCGGCGAGTGGCAGCAAAGTCACCAACAACGGCAACAAGAGCCGAGATAGACGAGGGGGGGGCAGTAGGGTCCGTCAAAAGAGACACGAGAACACGTGAGACAACAGGAGGAGCGGCGTGGTAGTAAAAACGACTCAGAAGGTACAGACTCAGGCAGAGAACAACGAGGAATAGAACGAAGCAAGACAGTGCGGAGGTCGTCATCAGGAGACGAGGGACGAGCACGTGGGGGATAGGGGGTGACGCAAGAGTGTGAGACAACAGGAGGAGCGGGCAATGAACAAGGAGGAGAGAAAACAACCAGGGATGGGTCCGGAGAAGGAAGACCGTGAGCAGTAGGAGGCGGTGAGCGGTCCTTAGAGGGGGAAGGGAGACCAAGGGCCCGAAGGCCACTCACAGGTGGTATCTGCTGCAAAAGTGACTGTAGGGACTGCTGCGGCTTCTGCTGTTGCTGTAGCTCCTACCGCTGCAACTCCTACTGCTGCTGCCGCAGCTCCTGCTGCTGCAACTCCTGCTGAAGCTGCTCCAGCTCCAACCCCTCCCGCTCCTCACACGCGAGCTGAAGAAGCTCCTGGAAACCCGTTTGGTAGCTGAGGGGAGGCGGAGCAACAGAGCCGCCAGCTCCAGTGCCCTCAGCACGAGCACCTCTGGTTCCAGTCCGAACAACTCTAGCACCCCCAAAAGGACCACCCGCAGTGCCAGTACCAACAACTCCAGCACACCCATAACTAGCACCTCCAGTGCATGTACCCTCAGCTCCAGCCACCCCAGAACTAGCACCTCCAGTGCCAGTACTCTCAGCTCCCGCACCCTCACAACCAGCACCTCCAGTGCCAGCACCCTCAGCTCCAGCACCCTCAGACCCACCACCTCGAGCACCCGTGCCTCCAACACCAACAACCCCAGAGTCCACGGCAACCTGTCGCGGTAGTGCTGACTGATGTTGTGGTGACTGTGAGGACGACTGTGGGGAGGGGGGGGGGTACCTGACGTGCTACCGAGGGGAGAGGGGTAGCGTGGGACACACCAGACAGGGCAGGACCAGGGGGGGGCGGGTGTACCGGAGGAGTGGGAGGAGGAGGAGGAGGAGGAGCGGGGGCGAGGAAAAGGGGAGGGAGGGGGGGGGGGGGGACCGGGAGGCTTCGACACGGGTAGCAGGTATAGTAGGACACATACTCGTCAAACCGGACATCACGAGAGTCCAGAAACTGGTGGAGGGGCAGGTGGTGAAACGTGAAGTCAGGGGCGTCCACCGGGAAACCAAGGAAGACACAGGGAATGGCGCGAGCTGAGAGCTTGTACGCAGCGGTGTTGCCGACAAGCGCAAGGCATCCCCAGACACGAAACTCCAACGCAACATTAGGGGACCCGATCGAAAAACTGGTCGGTGAAGCCTCTGGCCGTGATACACGAGGCCAAAGCTTCAGGTGGTGGGCGGCGTAGCGGACCACGCAGGGCCACAGAAAATGGAGTCCACGGGCATGGATCATGGAGGTGCGGGCGATCTCCATGACCAAGCCGATGCGGCGCTCAGCAACCCCATTCTGTTATGGGGACTCCGAAAGCGTCCAAGACTAGGTGATGCCCTGCTCGCAGCACCGGGAAGAATGCCGGAGCAAAACCCCACCCCCACGGTCGGAGTGGAGACAAACAGCACGACTACCACGAGTGGCCTCAGTGGCCAGTAACCACCGGATCAGCATAGAAATCACACCGAACTACTTCGCCAGGGGGGAACACCGTGGTGTAACGGGAGTAGTTGGCAATGACCACCAAAAAGTAGCTCTCCTTCTCAGGCCCAGGGCGAGGGTCTGGGCCCCGCAAGGAGTGCACGGCGGCGCAGGCGAAGGAGGGAGCGACTCTAGGACACGCGGGAGATTGGAGACAAGACGCTGGCTGAACATGCTACGGAGGCGTGGGATGGACGGGTGACCAAGAGGGTGGTGCCACAAGACTGTCGTGTGGGTGAGTGACCGAAAATAGCAAGACGCAGCAACCTGACCTGACGCGACTACCTGGGTAGAGTCAGTGTGTAGTGTGAAGAGACCGGAGCCCCGCTCCCGGCGAAAATCGGCCAGGGGAGCGTAAGTGTCATCGTCCACGCATGTCTCAACACGCTCAGACGGAGGAAACCAGGCGCCGATAAGGCGGTCCTGAAGGTATTCAACACCCACCAAGTTCTTGGAGAACGAGGGTATGTGGAGACCAGTGAGGACTCCAGAGGGGGCAGTCGGGCACGGGAGGGTGGTAGAGCTGCGTGCAACTGCTCGTCCCGAAGTAGAATCAGCCAGTGCAACCGGAACTGGAGCAGAAAGCGGTGTGAGAGTAGAATGGTCGCGGAAGAAACACTAAGACGCGCCAGAGTCCAGCGTGAAAGAGAGCAACACATCAGCCGTTGGTGCACCTGGGCTAGTAGCTACACAAGCACCTAGACTGATAGCACCAGCACCTACATTAGCAACAGGCAAGGATCCTAAGCTACAAATACGCGAGCAAACAAATCCGGCAGCACTATAGTCAATATCGGCATACATCACTGAATCAGATCCCATGGCATCAACTAACTCTACCGTAGACATATCCCATAAAGCAAGACCACAAGGAGTGAGCAAGTGGGACCCAGTCCGGAGCGGGACGTAGCCATATTGGGCGCGGACGCAGTCCGTAAGCTGCGCGAAGCTCTGTCCCGGAGCGTGAAAATTGCCACATCGTTAACCCTCACGAGTGCCCGACTGAACCACGTACAGGCAGGGAGGCCAAGTGACACCATGCGATGCCGAGCTGGGCGGACCACCGCCACGACCAGCGCTCCCTGGTCCACAAGGTCACCACTGGTGAGGCTGCTGCTGCAATTACTGATGAAACTGCTGCTGCAAGTGTCCCTGCTGCTGCGGCTGTCCCTGCTGTGATGCTGCTACTGGGGCTGTTGCCGCTACTGTATCGTGTATCACGCAGTCGCACCGGCAACCCCTACCGTCGGGCCCGCAGGCCCAGTACCGCCTCCAGTGCGGCCTCCACCAGACGCACTAGTGGAATCAGTACCTCCGCCACCCCTGCCACTCCAACTAGCACCACCATGCTTCCCCCCTTTCTTACCTCCCCTGCCCCGGGGCCGCCCACCCGTGGTGGACACGGCTGCAGTCTCGTCAAAAGCAGGAGACGCAGTAGGGGCAAGAGAAGCAGTGAAGGTGGGAAGTTGTGGGACAGTGCACCCCTGAAAGAGCGCGGGAACTACGATGCCAGAAGCGGAGGCAACAGAGTGGATGTTGCTCTTTATGTCCTTGAGAGCTGTCTCAAGGACATCGATAGTGAGCCCACTAGGGTGCTTCCAAAAAAGCGCGTTACGGACAGGTGCAAGGCGGTCAAGGAGGCTAGTGGCGATCAAGTGAATAGTGATCGCCATGGGCGGGGGGAGGAGTGCAAGCTCAGCCTCAGTACAAGCAGCACGATAGCTGACGTCGAGCGAGCGCAGGTGGGTGATAAGGTCAGCAGTGCGGTCAAGCGCTCCTAGGTTGGGAAAGAGAAACGGCATAGCGAGGCGACCAAGAGAGGTGGAGGAGGGAGTCGTATAACGGGTCTTAATCGCAGCTAAATACAGCTTTTAGATTGACTTTAATAACCTCATCCCAAGCTTGCTCATCAATGCGAATCAATAAATTATCCCGGGTATTGCCTGCATTATTAACCAAAATGTCTTACCTACCAAACGTTTCTATGGTAGCTTGTATCACTTTATTAACTGCGGAAAAACCAGAGGCGTCAGACTAGAAAGCTTGAACTTGGACGCCGCGAACAAGGCCTTGGCAGGTCGAACCTTAGTGAAGTGGGCCTCCTCAGACTGAGGGAGAAAACTGCCGAGTGCAATGCAAGCCGCCGCGTTACGAGACTGCCACACCGAGAGAGCGGTATGCGCCTTACCGAAGAGCGCCCGGTCTGCCTCAGTAGGCTCATTATCCAGGGCAACGGGGGGCGGAGGCTCAGGCAGGTCACCAGAGGCGTGCGCCCAGAGAGTGTCATTATCCTGGCGTTGACTCCGGAGGAACCGCTCGGCTCGGACGAACCAGGAGGGGAACTCTAGGGCTTTGCCCTCCGCATCAAAGCGCAGCACTCAAGTGGACGCCATGGAGAGAGCGCAACCGGTCTAGAAGCGCATGGCTAGGAAGGACCAGAGCTAGAAACAAACGAAGGGTGTACGGCGCAAGACAAAATGGGGTAGGAACAGCTGGAGCGAGTAGCGAACTAAGTATGAGTGGCTAGTATAGGAGAAGTCGGAACGAACAAGGAAACGTGGCCAGATGGCTAGGAGCACTTGACCGTAACTAGGTGAACACCCTAAGCTGCGCTAGTGGAGTCGACGGTGGCTGCCAGCCGATGCTAGGGACGCCAATGGTAGGATGCGTGGAGGTCTAGCGTGGTCCGGTGCGGTTGGGTGCGGTCTAGCGCAGTGGGGACTGGTCTGGTACAGGAGGGTTAGGACTAGTGCAGTGGAGATTGGGAAATGTGAGGCCGATTGCGGAAGGGTGTGGTGGAGGGTGGTTCAGTACGGAGGGGAAAAGTCAGGGGGAGGTTCAATGCGGTCGGGACTGGTTAGGAACGGTTTAGTGCGGTGGGGAACGGGGTGGCCTGTCAAGGAGCACGGCCAGCAGTGCGTAGCGAAGGCACGTGCAGCTGCTGCTGCTGCACTCGCGGCTCCTGGTGCGCGGGCAGCTGCGCGTGCGGCTGTTGTTACTGCACGCGCGCTCCTAGTACGTCGGCAGCTGCGCGTGGGGCTACTGTTGTAGCTGCACATGTGGTTGAAGATGTGCGCGCGGCTGCAGTGGCGCGTGCAGCTGCTGCTTCGTGCGTGGGGGGCTGCTACTCGTGTGTGTGCAGTGGCGCGCGCGTGTGGCTGTGCGTGCTGCATCCGCGTGTGCGAAGCGGGACAGGGCGCGGCACGGGACGAAAAGGGGTTGGGGGAAGCGCGCGTGTGTGCAGGCGCTGCTGCGCGCGCGTATGCCTAGGGCGGGGCGCGCTACGGACAGGGCGCGTCACGGACGGGATGAGGCGCGTTACCGGCGGAAGGGGCGCGTTTTCTTAGGCTAGGAACTAACCTACCACTGATACCATAACTAACTTACTTAGGTAGGTAGCGAGAATGGCGGTAATTAGGGAAAGGGGGAGGGGTGCAAGAAGAGTGTCGAGAGTTTTTGTATACCGCCTAGGATCTGACTCACTACAGCCTATATAACATATAGACACAGTTTGACAGCTAGGTATAAGGAAATTGCCATGGCCGAGACTAGGGCGAGTGTTCAAGAAAGAAATGCAATGACGAAACACAAGAATGGGCCTATCTTGCCAACACTACCTCCCTTCTGAAGGCGGGAGTTCGAGAGATGTCAGTAACTTGTTGCCTATGGCCCTACCTCTCTTGTTCTCCTGGAGATCCCAGCGGAGAGGACAGTGAGATGGCCCTGTTGAAAGAGAGGATGGAGACGCCACCGATGAGCGTGGGCTTCCCTGTAGCGCTGTCGGTAGAGAGTAGTGCTGGGGCGTGCGCTGAGGCGTGCGGTCGAAACTTTAAGTCAAGGTTGGGGATTCTGCGGATAAGTCGGGTATCGGTAAGGATGACGAGGTCGGTGGGGGCAGGGAGGCGCGATAGCCACGATTTAAGCTCGTCCATTTTGCGGGTTTCGTTGATTCCGTTCACATTGATGCAGAGGACGCGTAGGTGTGTTAACATGGCCATGTTGTGGAGGCCACCGCACGAGAGATCGTGCGTATCCACGGCCTAGGTCGTATAGGGGTCGGTTGCGGGGTCGGCCGGGGCGGAAATGGGGTGGAATGGGGTGACGGGGTGCCACAAAGCTCTCGGTGGGAGCCTTGGGGGAGGCGGTAAGCCGAGCATTGGCGTGTTGTCATGGGGGAGGGGGGTCTTACGAGAGCGGAGCCAGGGCTGTGTGATCTGTGAACGGTTAGTGTATCCGTTTCTTGGTCGAATAGGGGACGTACAGTCAACGTGTAGGTGGGGTGGGACTCAGGTTCCTTCGAGTCGTGTGGGTGTTTGGAATTGTTAAGTTCTCTGACCAGACTTTTTCCTGCTCCTTTATTTGGATCTGGGGGGCACGTTGCATGTGGAGGGGCGGTTTTCCTCGGAGAGGGGGAAGGGGAAGTAGGGGGTTCGGTGCACAACGAGCATGCAAGGTCGAGTTTTATTAGATGTGCATGAGGAGTACAACTCAGACCCAACAAACATATGCAGCAGACAAGGCAAGTGCGTGGGGCAGCTAAGCGCGGGACGTAGTCTTTAGCTTCTTGAGGAAGGCTTCGATTCCTCCCTTCTTCAGGAGGGCAGCAAAGCTCCAGGTGAGGTAAGTCTCCTTGGCAGCGGTGTTGTGCGCGTTGGCGAGCAGCTGAGCGCAGTGATGTGCAGACTCCATGTGCTTCAGCGCGCTGTCCAGCGCCGGGCCGCATTCGAAGTTGCAGGACACGCAGGTCCAAGGTTCGACGTCCAGATCGGTGCCGATGAATAGGAGGCCGGGGTCGGCGCGGAAGGCATTGGACGCGGCGCAAGCTCCGAAAGCACCTCCTGAGGGGCAGTTCAGGGGGGGTTAGGCCGAGGCCAGAAGGGAGAGGGCGGGTGAGCAGAGGTAAAGTGGGAGGGGGAGGGGTGTTCGACATGGGATGATAAAGGGCTGTCTAGAGGGAGAATTGCCTAATTTCTCTCCTCATGCGTGGGAGATTACAAACACCCACTAGTATCTCACAATAACATTCAGAAAATCATTATAAGGCGTTTGTGAAACTACTACAAAGGTCTTAACAATGACGACCTCTTTCTGAATGTAACATAAGTACAAGCATAATACCCAATTGCAGATACCCATAACCTCTGAGAGGGTGGTGAACAGTTGAGAGAGGGAGGAGGAGCAGGGAGGAGGAGCAGGGACGCAATAGCATCCCCACCTCACTCCAGCGCTTTCGTTCCGTTCACCTCGCGGCTGCGCCGATCCTTCGCGCTCCCGCGCCGTCCTGTCTCCCTTCTGCGCCCGCGCTGTGACGCAAAGGCCTGCCGTAGCGGCCGTCATGGGCTTGCCACTGCAGCACCGACGCCTACCGCCAGACACGCCGCAGATTCCGGCTCGGGACGCTTCGAGGCGCCTGAGAGCGACGCAACCGCCCCCCCGTGGGTCAACGCCCCTGAACCTGGCCTTTGTCTCCTGTCGGTCGCCGCTGATGTTGCTGCTGGCGGTCGCCATCGTCGCCAGCCCTATGCGACAACCCCCCGTCGCACTCGCAGCACGGCCGCTGGACACGCCCCAAGGTGAGTCGCCACTGCTGCCCGTTGCTGCCCCTCCCTCCTCTCACATCCCCCTGACACCCCTCTCACACCCCTCTCGCCCCCACCTTCTCTCACCTGAGCTGTAGCAAAATCCCTAAACATGCTAACGTGCTGCCGTGCTGCCATGCAGTTGCGGCTCTTAGGCCTGTCACCCATCAGCGCGCAGCAATCAGATGAACGCCTCAGCCTCCCCCTCCCCACTGTCCGCGCCTTTGCTCGCTCCAGAAGCCACTCCCCTCACTCCGTGTTTCACGTTCCCCTTTTCCTTTCCCGTTGCTCCAGTCCCTTCCTCTTCCTAACCTCTCCCCTTCCCCCTTCCCCCTTCCCCCTTCCCCATTCCCCCGCGCTCCCCTGCCCCTTTTCCCCTGTCTCACCAGGCGACCCAGCCAATGCGTCTGCACCCGCCTCCGCTCCCCCTTCCACCCCCGGATCCGCACCAGCACCCGGGGCTGACCTAAACAGCAGCGGCAACAGCAGCACCACCAATAGCAGCAACAGCGCCAGCAGCGGAGGCAGCGCGCCGTTCAACATGTCAGCGGACAGCATCAAGCACGGTTACGACTTCTCCTGCCTCTTTAAAGACGTCCTTAGCACCGACTGCCGCAACAAGCCTGCGAGCCCCTGGGCCGTTATGACCGCAATGATCATCTTCACTATAATCGGACTCATTATAGGCGTGCCGCTCTGCATCTTCTACCGCAGCAGCCAGGCCGTGAAGAGAAAGCTCTTCGCGTGTTGCTGCCCGCAGCGACTGGAAGAACTGGCCGAGGAGGAAGAGGCGAAGAGACAGGCGAAAATCGCGCAGCCGAGGCCGTGGGAGCTGCAGCAGCCGGGGGTGAAATCCGCGTTAAAGAGTGGCAGCAGGGCGGGGGAGGAGGAGGACGGGGAGGATAGCAACTGGGTGAGGTCGGAAGATGATGAGGACGTGGAGTGCGGGAGAGGGAGGGGCGGCAGCAGCAGCAGCAGCCGGGATGCAAAGCCGCCTGTTCCGCGCACTAGGAGCTCGCAGGCAGGCGCAGCAGCAGCAGGAACAGGAGCAGCAGGGGGAGTGCCGCGGGCTGTGTCCGCTGGCTCCTCCGCCTCTGGTGGTGGTTTCTCCAGTGGTGTGCGGCGCGTGGCAGCTGCTGGGCCCGCAGGCAGAGGGAGAGGAGGCGGCAGAGGGATGGGGAGAGGGAGAGGGGGAAGGGGAGGGAGAGGGGGAGGGAGAGGAAGGGGAGTGCCGCGGGCAATGTCAGCGCAGGGGGCAGTGGCGCGCTCAGTCTCTGTGGAGGCAGCAGCGCCAGGGAGGGGGGTTGCGGGCGGACAGGGCGTGCCGAGGGCTGTGTCTGCAGAAGCAGCCATGCACACAGGTGGGGACAGTCAGAGAATGCTGCCAGCGGCGGTCGGAGCGGGAGGAGCAGGTGGAGCAGGTGGTGCTGGGATGGGTGGTTTTGGTGCAGGCGGGGCGGCAGGAGGAGCAGCAGGGAGAGCGGATGGGCTGACTCGGGCCGGTCCCAGAAGCACCGTGCGTTTCATGAGTGATAATGGGCGCGGCGAGGGGGAGCACTATGGCGGGAGACGGGATGAGGACGAGGAGGAGGAGGATGATATGGCTAGGGGTGTGGAGTATGAGTATGATGACATTGACATGGACTCGCCTGGGGGGCATGGTGGTGTGTATACATCATACAGCCATGGCAGGAGCGGCAGCGCTGCTGCTATTCGCCAGCCGCCCCGCCACATGCCGGCACCCACACGCGACTACGATGACGAGGATTCTGACCTGGATGACGTGGAGGAGTACACTCCTGTGAGGGGGCCACGTCAGCAAGAGATGTCCGGGCGGCATGAGTATGAGTATGACTCGGGACCCGGGAGTGGGAGGGGGTTGGGAAGCGGAAGGAGGGTAGGGAGTGGGCGTGAAGCAGGAAGGGATGATGGGAGGGAGGAGGCACGCAGGCCACTGCACGCGGCAAGAGGTGATGAGAGATACGATTCGGATGAGTCAGAGGATCTATATGATGATTGAAGTCTGGTGTAGCTGTCCCTAACTCTAATGGCGGTCTGTATATACATCCATTAATATTGATGCTTACGTACGGTTTCACAGAGAAACATTCAAAGCAGTGTTCAGCGTGTTTGTTTAACGTGATATTGAGTGTTTGTCAGGGCCAAAGAATCTGTAACTGTATTGAAGCACCCTTTGGAACCAAGGTTGCGTGAGTAAAATACTGAGACATACGGTACTGTACCGCAGGGCCCACGATATCAGGGCAAAACATCCTGACTACCCTGATTTCAGGATGGTGTTTTAAAGCCCGAGTTCTACATGGCAATTTTCAAGTTCAAGATTCCTGAATATGAATTCGCAAAAAACCATGTTACCACCCAAAGTGGAGGATATCCGTCGCGATTCAGAGGGGAGGTTTTGCGACGTTGTTCCATGATTGGCCAGCGACAAAACCAGTCATTCCGAGTAAAGGGTCGGAGGGCAATGGAGCACTGTTCACTTTCAGTAAACTTGAAAACCATGTTGTACTAAATGGCAGGCATATTGACAGCCTACGTTTACTTAGTTCACCCGTTTTTCACGCCCAAACTTTCTCCGTATCACTCCTTTTCTCCGTAGCAGCTGTATCAGTACAGCAGCCTATTTGGTGACAAATACGAACAGCCAATCATAAAACCAGTCGGAGATGTCCCATTTATACAATAACTAGAGAGCTCACATGCGTGTGCGGTGCGCACCCAACCGGATATAGTTACTTGCGCGACGCCAACACGTGCCTGCACGTCACAATTCCATCCACCCCCCCGGCGTCTAACCCGGGTTGCGCATCTAGACAGTCGCACGGTCGAGGGTCAAGTATATCCCTTCCGACTGTTGCTCTCCCTTCCGCCGTCGCTCTCCCTTCCGCCCGTCGCCCTTCTTTCCCCCTCGTCGCCCTGCCTTCCGTCCGTCGCCCACCCTTGTTCCCGTCGCCCTCCCTTCCCGTCGCCCTCCCTTCCCGTCGCCCTCCCTTCCCGTCGCCCGCGCTTCTTCCCGTCGCCCTCCCTTCCCGTCGCCTTCCCTTCCCGTCGCCCGCGCTTCTTCCCGTCGCCCTCCCTTCCCGTCGCCCTCCCTTCCCGTCGCCCTCCCTTCCCGTCGCCCTCCCTTCCCGTCACCCTCGCTTTCCCCGTCGCCCTGCCATCCACTCCCCGTCGCCCTCGCCTTCCCTCCCGTCTCCCTTCCCATCTCGCACACTTGTCACCCTCCCTTTTCTCTCCCTACTCCCTCTTTTCCCTCCCTCCAATAATCGCCTTCCTTCCCCCAACTTATACCCCTTCCCTGCTTCCCCCCATCCCCTGCCCTGCTTCCCCCCATCCTCTTCATTCTTTCCCCGTATCCCCAGCCCTGCTTCCCCCCATCCCCTTCCCTGCTTCCCCCCATCTCCTTCCCTTCTTCCCCCCATCTCCGTCCCTGCTTCCCCCCATCCCCCTCCCTGCTTCCCCCCATACCCCTTCCCTGCTTCCCCCCATCCCCTTCCCTGCTTCCCCCCATCCCCTTCCCTGCTTCCCCCCATCCCCTTCCCTGCTTCCCCCCATCCCCTTCCCTGCTCCCCCCCATCTCCATCCCTGCTTCCCCCCATACCCCTCCCTGCTTCCCCCTATCCTCTTCCCTGTTCCCCCCCATCCCCTTCCCTGCTCCCCCCCATCCCCTTCCCTGCTCCCCCCCATTCCCTTCCCTGCTTCCCTCATCCCCTGCCCTGCTTCCCCATGTCCCCTGCCCTGTTTCCCCCAATCCCCTTCCCTGCTCCCCCCCATCCCCTTCCCTGCTCCCCCCCATTCCCTTCCCTGCTTCCCTCATCCCCTGCCCTGCTTCCCCCAATCCCCGTCCCTGCTTCCCCCCATCCCCCTCCCTGCTTCCCCCCATACCCCTCCCTGCTTCCCCCCATCCCCCTCCCTGCTTCCCCCCTGCTCTATTCCCCCCTGCTCTGTTCCCCCCTGCTCTATTCCCCCCTGCTCTATTCCCCCCTGCTCTCTCCCCCCTTGCTCTCTCTCTTCTCACCTCCTCACTCTGTTTCCCCCTTGCTCACTCGGTTTTCCCATTGCTCATTCTCTTTCCCCCTGCTCACTCTCTTTCCCCATTGCTCATTCTCTTCCCCGCTGCTCATTCTCTTTCCCCTTGCTCATTCTGTTTCCCCCTGCTCATTCTGTTCCCCCCCTGTTCACTCCCTTCCCCCATGCCCACCCTCTTTCCCCCTGCTCACTCCCTTTCCCCCCTTCTCACTCTCTCCCCCCCTCCTCACTCTCTTTCCCCCCTGCTCAATGTCTCCCCTGCACTCTGTTTTTTCCTGCTCATTCTGTACAAGTCCCCAGCACCAGGTGTAGGGAGGGACCCACAAGTCCTGCTTTTTTGCTGCTGTGTATGCAGACAAGAGTGGGAAAAGACATATTATTGAGTAACTTGGTTCTTTTTTTACTAGATTGTTGCACTTCGTAGGTGGTCAATGGTCACTCTACTCCATGTATCAAAATTTAGTTATAATAATAAGCATACAACATTCCCACAGCCATGTATCATACCTAGGGGTACTATCAAACAACCAACATTCCAGCCGGTAAGCATACAAAAGAATGACAACTGACAATGAAGCAACACGAAGAGGAAGAAATAAAAAGACACTCCTGGAACGGTAGGAGACAAACAGAAGGACGACCAGGGGAAAAGAGGGACAGAGAAACGGAGGAAGGGACGTATGGAGGAAGAGAGGAACAGAGGAAGGGAAGGATGGATGGGGAGGGAGGACGGGGGAAAGGGAGGACAGGCAGCACCACGTCTGCCTATGCTGTGTGACTCTGCCCACCGCCATCCACCCACAGCGCCCCAAGCAGCTCCCTGGTGCAGAAAAGCACAAGGGATGAAGAGGTGCCGCTGGGCCGAGGGCGGTGTGGGAAACACCTGGAGGGGAGGGTGAGAGGATCGGATGGGGAAAGGACGGATGGGGAGGGATGAGGAGAGGATGGATGGGAAGAGGAGGGAAGTGGTGAGGTGGGATGGGCGGATGGGGAGAGGACGGGAGGGGGTGGGGAGAAGAGGGGATTGTGAGAGGAGGGGATGGGGAGAGGAGGGGACGCGGTGACGAGGGAAGGGGAAAGAAGCGGATGTGTATAGGAGGAGATGGGGTGAGGAGGAGATGGGGTTAGGAGTATGGTGAATGGGGTATGGTGGAATGGTGAAAGTAGGCATGGGGAATGGAAGGATGGGGAACGGAGGGAGAGTGAATGACGGGATGGGGAAAGGAGGTCTGGGGAAACGAGGAAAGGGGGATGGGAAGTAGGAGGGGATGGTGAGAGGAGGGGATGGGGAGAGGAGGGGATGGGGAGAGGAGGGGACGCGGTGACGAGGGAAGGGGAAAGAAGCGGATGGGGTGAGGAGGAGATGGGGTGAGGAGGAGATGGGGTTAGGAGTATGGTGAATGGGGTATGGTGGAATGGTGAAAGTAGGCATGGGGAATGGAAGGATGGGGAACGGAGGGAGAGTGAATGACGGGATGGGGAAAGGAGGTCTGGGGAAACGAGGAAAGGGGGATGGGAAGTAGGATGGCAGGGCGAGAGGAAGGGATTGAGAGAAGGGGGGAGGAAGGGCGGAAGAGGGGGATGGGAAGTAGGAAGAGGTGGGAAATGGCGACGTGTGACGATGCCACGGGGTGCGGCGGAGATGGGGTGAGGCATGGGGAGATGAGGGATGGGGAGACGAGGGATGGGGAGACGAGGGAAGGGGAGATGAGGGATAGGGAGACGAGGGAAGGGGAGATGAGGGATGGGGAGACGAGGGAAGGGGAGATGAGGGATGGGGAGACGAGGGAAGGGGAGATGAGGGATGGGGAGACGAGGGAAGGGGAGATGAGGGATGGGGAGACGAGAGTGTGGGGTGTGGCGTAGCAGGAGGAAGGAGAGTTGCAAGGCGCGGGGAGTCCCCATTCTCGTTAGAGGGGAGGGAGCGTGGGAGACGGGAGGGAGGGAGCGGTAGTAGTGACGGATGGGTGTGCGCGTACATGACGTAAGGGGAGTGAGCATGAGCGATGGGAGGGGAGTGAGCGTGGGCGACGGGAGGGGAGTGAGCGTGGGCGACGGAAGAGAGTGAGGAGGGGCGAAAGAGGCGTCGCGCAAAGGCGACGGGAGGGGAGGGAGCGTGATCGTGCGTCAGGAAGGAAGCGTGGGCGACGGGAGGGAGTGATCATCCTCTTTGGAGGGGAGTGCGCGAAGGCGACGGGAGGGGAGTGCGCGAAGGCGATGGGAGTGTTAGAGATTAAGGACGGAGTCTATGAAGATTAGGGGCTGAAATATCTCAAAATCGTCAACTACAATTCTGGACAGAAAAGTCGTCGTCACAAGAAACGTCGTCGACGAAAGGTCCACTGTTAGAATTCTTTCAAACTCGAGTATGTTGTAGCCCTTGACCGTGGCTAGCTTTCCCAATTTGAATAGTATCAAAATATGGAGTATAACTCGAGTTATGAACTTCGGCGCACTAGGGGGTATGCTGCCATAGAAAACGTAACTCAATCACAATGATCTCACAAGTTCACACAAGAAAGTTAGAGTAGCAATAGAACCAGGTAGGAGGGGATGAGGAGGACGAGAGGGAAGGTCCCAAGAGAGTCCCCAACCAAGGAAACCCCATGCCATACAATTCCCTTCCCCATAGGCAACCCAACTTTGACCTTTGTCACTATCCCAACCTCCACAATCCACCTCAACCCAACTTGGCCACACTTGCCAACCTGGTTTGGTTTCTCCCAACCATTTGGCAGCAACTACAGTAGAAAAGACGAATTTCCCAACCCCCAAAAGTCTGTACCCCATATTGAGTCAACCCCACAACTTCCCATAGTCACCACAACCAAATATCAAAAGCATACGAACTCCAACGTTCGTAACTTTCTTGTTCGTGCTCCGATTGAAGCGATACTTGGTTCCTCGGAAAGCTCTTGAGCAGAGGAGTCACTTCAGATATCTGCTCAAGCCAAATAACATTCACACACACACTCAGAAAAACCAAACCGCACAAAACACAAATTCTTGCACACACTCACAACACGCATGCAACGCACGAACATATGATGGGAGGCAGACAGACGTGAATGCGAATGGTAGCATCACTCAACAAACTCCCCCTCTGGCTGCCAACCATCATCCCACATGCCATAGCTCAAGCATGCATCCTCAATGCACACTCATCCCAGCAAGCTTCATGCCCTTCCAATGCTCAGATTCAGCCAGGCGCTTGGTGAGAATGTCAGCCGCCTGCTGATGGGTCTTCACAATCTCCAGCCGCACCTCCTTGTCCAGGAGCCTCCTCACCCAATGCCACTTAGGCCTGATGTGCTTCGTCAGCCCATGAAGGCAAGCATTCTTAGCAAGCTTCACAGCCGACTCGTTGTCACAGAAAATCACAGTTGGATCCTTTTGGCACACTCCGATCTCCTCCAACAAACGCCTCAGCCACACCACCTCCTTTGCCCCATGATGCAGAGCCATGTACTCTGTCTCACACGAGGACTGCCCCACCTCGTTCTGCTTCTTGCTGCGCCAGCTCACTGCACCACCTCCAAGCAGGCACACATAGCCTCCAATGCTGGTGCCATCCGCCTTCACAGAGTTGAAGCTAGCGTCGGTGTAGCAGGTCAGGAGCATCTCCCCCTTGCCCAAATCAGCTGCACCCCTCTGCAGCCTCTGTCGCACAGCACTGTACTCCAAGCCCACTAATGCCGTAGCGCTCACATAGCGGACCAACCTCTTGGCCGCTTCCAGCTGCTCATGACTGGGGCGTGAAACCACACTTGCAAGCCTGGATGTAGCAAAGGCAATGTCAGGCCGCGTGTGGTTAGCCGCATAATTGAGTGCCCCCACCATGGAATGAAACAGCTTCCTGTCACTCTCACCCACCACCTCCTCTTCAGCACAGGGCTCCACAGTGAACCCCGAAGGCAGTGGGGTGGCTGGCTTTCCTCCATCTTGCAGCCCATACTTCTCAGCCAGCCCCTCACAATACTTTCTCTGGTGCAACCTCAACACTCCCTTGTCAAGGTCCCTCTCCACATGCATGCCCAAATAGTACTTCACATCTCCCATCTTGGAGCACTTAAACTGCATCTCCAGCATCTCCTCCACATGCTCAATCATTGCAGACGACTCAGAGAAGAGCAGGATGTCATCCACATACACCAGGAGCATGAGAAACTGCTCCTTCTCCTGCAGCAGGAACAAGCTGTGATCACACTCACTCTTCTTGAAACCCCCAGCCAGCAGAGTCTCCTCTAACTTGTGGTACCATGCACGAGGAGCCTGCTTCAGGCCATAGATGGCCTTCTTCAGCCTGCACACCCTGCCGCTCCCATCATCCAAACCCTCAGGCTGTAACATGTACAGCTCCTCCAGAATGATCCCATTGAGGAAGGCGGTGGTGATGTCCATCTGCTTCACCCGCCATCCACGGTATGCTGCCATTGCCAATGACACCCGAAGTGTTGTGCCTTTCCCCACAGGAGCATAGAGCTCGTTGAAGTCCTTTCCCTTTGTCTGCTGAAACCCCTTAGCCACAAGCCTTGACTTGTAGCGGGTCAGCGCCCCATCAGGTCCGTACTTGTGCCTGAAAATCAGCTTGGAAGAAATGGCCTTCTTCCCAGGTGGCAGCTCACACAGCTCCCACGTCTCATTCTCTAGCAGAGAATCATACTCCTCCTTCACACTCTGCTTCCACTTTTCAGCATCGGGCCCGCTCAATGCCTCAGCTAGCGTCTTGGGCTCAGGGACGGCTGCCCAGTAGCAGTGTGCTATCTCATCCTCATCACACTGCTCAGCCACACTCCCAGCCCTTACCACCTTTGGCTTGCCACGGCTTGCATAGGTCAGCCGGTTAGGAGGGCGCACATCCCTCCTAGGACGGTCAGCCGTACGTCCGGCACCTTGTGGAGCACCTTGCTCCTCCTGCTGCTGCGGCTGCTGCTGCTGCTGTTGCTGCTGCTGCTGCTCCTCCACCTCAGGTTCTCCCCCATCCTCTGTCACCCCAGAGATCTCATTCTCAGAGACAGAAACCTCCACTTGCCTTGAAGGCCGCTGCACCTCATCGGCCTCGACAATTAGCGGTGTCGTTGGAAGCTTCTGCTGCTGCTGCTGCTTCCACTCCTTGTAGTACAAGGACTCAAGGAACTTCACATCCCTTGACACGGTCAGCTGCTGGCTGGTCAAGTCCCAAATCAGCCAGCCCTTGTGATCCTTAGCAAGCCCCAAGTGCACACCCCATCTCCCAGAAGCTTCCAGTTTTCCCCTCTTCTCCTTAGGCACATGAAACACCACCATGCACCCAAAGGCTCTCAGCATGTTCA